GGCCAGGAGCCAGGAGCTTCTTCGGGTCTCTCATATGTGTACAGGGGCCCAAGGACTTGGACCATCTTCTGCTGCTTTCCCATGCCATTAGCAGAGAGCTGGATGGGAAGTAAAGCAGCTAGGACTCAAACCAGTGCCTATATGGGATGCTAGCGCAGCAGACAGCAGCCGGCCCTTATGTCTTTTTTTTTCTAGTCCTACTTATTTTAAAGATGTAACCTGGTTCCCAGAATTCCAAGCCTGAAGTGGTCGGAAGTATTGGGCACAGGTTGCTTCATGTTACGTCTTTTTTTTTTTAATGGAAACTCATAGTCTGAAAATCTTAATTTTAGACCCCTTTAGTTTTTTTTTAAGTGCTGCTTTTTTTTTTTTAAAAGATTTATTTATTTATTTGAAAGGCAGAGTTGCAGAGAGGCGGAGGCAGAGAGAGAGAGAGAGAGAGAGAGAGAGAGAGAGAGAGAAAGAGATAAAGGTCTTCTATCTGCTGGTTCACCACAAATGGCCGCGACAGCTTGAACTGGGCAGATATGAAACCAGGAGCCAGAAGCTTCCTCTGGGTCTCCCATGTGGGTGTAGGAGTCCAAGCACTTGGGCCATCTTCCACTGCTTTCCCAGACCATAGCAGAGAGCTGGATTGGAAGTGGAGCAGTTGGGACTCGAACCAGTGCCCATATGGGATGCTGGCACTGAAGGTGGTGGCTTTACCCACTATGCCAGTGTGCCACCCCCCCCCAGTATTTTAATTCACATTTTGGCTTTTGTTTGGAGTGATTTGACAATAACATTTTTAGATTATATTATTAGTTTCTCTTTTGTATTAAATTTCAAATGAAATATTTCAAATCTACAAAAGAGAAAACAATATAATAATAAATATCTGAGTACTCACAACAGAACTTGGAAAAAATTTTAACTGTATTTTTGTCATAATTCTTTAGATTTGTGCCCAGAAATAGTGCAGTAGGGCAGGAAACCCCCAAACAAACATTTCTACTTCTCACTGACCATGGTGGCAAGGAAAGATGCATGAAATCAGAGACAACCGGGTTATAAGTGAATTCATGTTTGGCTCCCTGTCCTTCCTCCCGAAGAGTGACAGGAACACAGCCCCACAGTTAAAGCCAGGGCTCTGACGTCACACAGACTGGGCTGCGAGTCCTGGGTCTGCTTCTTGCCGGTCGTGTGGCCTCACGCAAGCTGTTCAATTTGTCCCGCCTCAGCTTCCTGATTTAGGAAGTGGAGACACTCATAGGTGCACCCAAGTGTGTTAGATTAAAAGGGAAATCTGGGGCCGGCGCTGTGGCGCAGTGGGTTAACGCCCTGGCCTGAAGCGCCAGCATCCCATATGGGCGCTGGTTCAAGACCCAGCTGCTTCACTTCCTGTCCGGCTCTCTGCTATGGCCTGGGAAAGCAGTTGAAGATGGCCCAAGTCCTTTGGCCCCTGCACCCATGTGGGAGACCTGGAAGAGGCTCCTGGCTTTGGATCGGCGCAGCTCCGGCCGTTGCGGCCATTTGGGGAGTGAAGATCTCTCTTTGTGTGCAACTCTTTCAAATAAAATAAATAAATCTTTTTTTTTTTTTAAAAAAAGGGAAATCTGAGCACTTATGTATTTACTATATACAGTCAGTGCCATGTGGTAAAGCTTCAACTGTTGTTGGTGATTGCTTTGTCACCGAGCGTCCACCATGCACCACTGGACTTCAGCAGTGAACAAGACTCCATGTAGAGCTCACTTTCTCATCACAGATCGTAAACAAATAACTTCAAATAGTGATAGGAGCATGAAGAAAGAGAGTTTTGGGAAGAGGGTGAGGGAGCTACTTTAGAGGAGAAACAGGAGGCCACAGGAGAAGGAACCATTCGGTGGAAGGTTTGGGAAAGAGGCAAAGGGAATAGCATCTGCCTAGAGCCTGAAGCAGGAAGCTTGGTTTGTATGAGAAATAGAACAGTTTGGCTGGAGCTCAGTAAGAGGAAGGAGGCTGGGCATACCATCTGGGAGTTAGGAAAAGCGGGCCAGCAAGGGCCTTGCAGACCCCAGTAAGGATCTTGAACGTTAGTTTCAGTGGACTATAAATACATTGGAAGTCTTTTATTGCTGGTGTGTGATACAGCACTCTCTGCTCTAGGGAGGAATTTGTGATCTTTCTTGTAGCTGCTTCAGCAATAGGGCTATGGGAAGATCACATTGGTTACTTGTGGGCGCCCCCTAGTGGAGGTGGTGGCACAGCAATTTATTCTTCATTGAACCTTGATTGAGTGCCTACAATGTGCCAGGCTCTGTTCTGGTGCTGAAATATACCCATGAACAGAAAAGGCTAACATCCATGTTCTGATGGAGTTTATGTTCTTAATGAAAGCACAACATTTGAATACCGATGCAAAGGAGGTGACAGGGTGAGTGATGCTGGAATCTGGGGTGGCAGTGCGGGTAGCATTCCAGCCAGAGGGATCAGCTAGCACAGAGGCCCAAGCCTACCTGTGGGTTTGAGGAAGAGCAAAGAGGCCAGCGTGCCTTACGTGGAGAGATGAGAGAGGGAGTAGGAGATGTCAGAGCTGTAGCTGGGGGTGTTAAGTGTTGAGGGTCCTGTAGGCCAGTGCAAGGATTTGGGTTTTCATGCTGAAATATCTGACTAAGGTTTTCACAAGAGCTCTTTGCTTTTGTGTGAATACACTGTAGGAGGCAAGCATATGCACAGGACACTCACAGTACCAACAGAGGCGGCAAATTATCGGATTTACCTTTTTTTTTTTTTTAGGATTTATTTATTTTGAAAGAGAGGGGGGAAAGACAGAGAGAGAGAGAGAGGGATCTTCCATCTTATGATTCATTCCTCAGTTGGCCACAGTGGCTAGTGCTGGGCCAGGCCAAATCCAGGAGCCAGGAACCATAACTCCATTTGGGTCATCCACATGGGTGGCAGGGACCCAACTACCTGGACCATGCCCTGCTGCCTCCTAGGGTGCACATTAGCAGGAAGCTGGCTCTGAAGCAGAAGCAGGACTCCATCCCAGGCACTCTGGTATGGGATGCAAACCATGGCTTAAAACGCTGTGCCACAGTAGCCATCCCTTTGAGCTTTTACATTTAATATTGCATTTTAATTTTGTGTTCTTTTAAAAAATTTGAGATTATTTTCCATCTGCTGGTCTCTCCCCAAATCCCTGTGACAGCCAGGACTGTTCCAAGCTGAAGCCAGAAGCCTGGAACTCAATCTGGGTCTCCCACGTGGTGGCAGGGACTCACATCAACCACCACCTGCCACCTTTAGGGTGCACATTAGCAGGCAGCCGGAATCAGGAGTGGAGCTGGGACTCGAAACCAGGCAAACCAGTACGGATGCGGGTGTCCCAGGCAGCGTCCTCCCGTCAGCCCCAACAGAATAAACTTCAGGTCTCCACCAAGCCTGAATGCAACCCAGCTTCTTGCCTACGAGTGGGCTGCAACTGAAAATGAACGAAGTATTTAAAATTGCCTCTAAAAGTAAAGTGCAAGAAGTGCAGCTAACTATAAGCTCAATATAACATTAGGAATAAACTCAATTGGGGATAAAAATATCACCTTGGCCTAGCCTCCCAAGTGTCTTGCGAGACTCCCACCCATTTCTCCCAGTCTTCCTAAATCTCCCAAAGCACTTCCTGTCCTGTTCCGTTTAGGAACACGCATCTTAAGAGCTCGTAAAAGCCCTTTTTGAAAAATCACCACTGTTCCGTTCACGCGGGGCACTGGCACCGGCAGCAAGGACAGCTCCGCCTTGCCGGCTGGTCTCGAGACTCCGTGGCGCCGAGCCGGGCGGGACATGGGCGGGGCTCTCGGGGGGGCGGGGCCTAGGCGGTTTCCCCGCCCTAGAAGCCCGACGCATGCGCCCAGAGAGTTCTGGCGGAAAGAGGTGTGGATTGTGAGGTGACCCTGGCCGCTGACTTCCGGTTCCTAGGGATGCGCTTCCGGGTCACGCTAACGCCGCGGTTTCCTCCGCTTGCTCGGTCCTACCGTGGCTCTGGACCGGTCCCCATGTCTTGCTGTGGGAGTTCTGTCGCCCTCGGGTGAGTCTCCGCCGCCGACGGGGTCCGAGCGTGGTCGGTCGAGCACAGCCTGTAACGGCACGGGTCAACAGTTCTGCCTCGGTCCTTGTGGGTGGGGGGTCTCTTCTCCTGTCCCTTGTCCCTGGAATGCTTCCCTCACCTTAGCCCTTTCCTTCGTACTGGCCTCCCTTCTTCCACTTCAGCCCGGCCTTTCTCCGCGTACCTCTCGCCTTGCTGTTTTCCCTCAGCCTCATCGGCGCCCTCCTAACCCCAGTTTCTTGCCCTTCGCCTCAGCCGCTGCCTCTCGGTTTTCCGCCTCCCCTTCTGGCCCCGCTCTTCTCCGTCTCCGGATCCAGCTTCTGGCCGATCTTGCACCCCGCGGGACGGTCCACCTCCACCTAGTGCTCGCTCTTCTCCACTGCGAGACCCGAGCCTCCCGTAAGGGTCACGGGCCCTCGACCCCCAGCTTTCGTCACCTTTGACCCTCCGCTCCTCCCGGGGACTAGTAGGGGACCCGAGTGCCTCGCCTGGGGTTGTCCTGCCTTTTCTTAGCTGGGGGAGGGCTTTGCTCGAAGCTCCCTGCTGGAAAGGTTTCCCTAGCCTGCACTTCACTCTGGCGGCTTCCTCCGTAGTTAAACACAAAAGGCGCCCCCACTGCGTCGCTGGGAGCTCCGGCCGGGGGCTCTCTTAAGAGCAGCTAACAGGTGGCAGGCTTCGGGGCGGCTGGCGGGTGCGGGTGTGGGATGTCGGGCGCTGACAGGGCCTGAGGACGGCCTGTCACTCCTGTGCACTCTGTCCCGCCAGCGAGGATGCCCGCAGCCCAGGCCCGAGACGCGGGTGCTGGGGGGCGCCCCGCCCCGGGTCGCGCCTGGGGACAGTCTCTGGGGTGGCGCGGACAGGAGTTTCTTGGGGGAGCTTTTATCCCCGGATTTATGAGCTTAGTGTGTTGTTACTGAAACATTTTCTGCTAGAGAGTTCACTGTGGTAATTTTAGAGTAACTTTCTGAAGTTGGACTCAACGTGCAGCTGTGTATCATTGCCTCGTGGAGCCCCCATTTTTACTGTATTAACAAGTTTTGTTATTCCTGTTTCTTCCTACGCCAGATTTATTATAGTACTTCTTGCTTAAAATAGCCTTCTAACTTCTGTGGTTTTTTTTTTTTTTTTATTGTTGCTACCTTAGTTTTAAAACCATCTTTTTCTCATTTTGAAACTTAGGACCTCTTTCTTAAATTTCTCCAGAGGTTTAAAATCATCGATAACATGATAGGATTAGATTTAGTAGTGATTAGTGCCCCATTTCCCAGATTTTTTGATCTGAAGTACAGGATTAGATTACCTTTATTTTTGTTTTCCTGATGTTTATGGTGTATGTCTAGCATTTTATAGCAAAGGTTTTCTGTGTGATTAGTTTCTGTAAGCTCTAAAATTTGGTGCTTCAGTGTCAACAGAATACAGCTTTTAACACCTGCTTCTGTTTTGACTAAGAGTTACAGAAAAATTCCCTTCATTGTGTGATACATACACAGAGGAGTGAGGCGTAGACTGTGCTTATTGGAAAACCGGGCTGTTCCCTTCACCTATTTTTAGCCAAGGACTTTGGCACTGGGCCACCTTAGTCCTAGATGCAGCAGAGGAAGACCCTTCTAGTTGGTTTTCAGGGCTTGACTAACTGCTGAGAGAAGCCCTTTGGAAAGTTTCTTTTCCAAACCTCCTTTCAAAGCATCTACACTAGAAACTCTTAATTCTGGCTAATCATTTCCCAGCCTTAAAAACTAATCCCAATGAGTGTGGCTGACTTCTTACCTCCAGGGTTTGTGGACTTTTAAGCTGTGGGAACTCTGCAGTTGGACCTACAACTTGATGCAGCTCCATCTTTTAACCTTTTTTAATTCTGAACTTTGTATTTCTCAATCATGTTTAAGTGTAAGCCCATGTAGATCTCTGTAGTTCAAATCTGCCCTTTCATTTTATACATAAGTAGATCAGGGCTCATGGGCTTACAAATTTAGTGAGATTCTTTCAGGGTCCTTTTTTTTGTTTGTTTAAATAAATTCAGAGTGAGATTTTTAAAGCTGTATTCTGGAGAGCACAATTTAATACTTAGGTGGTCATGTCATTACAATATGTTCATATTATAGGAATGATATAAGTTATATAGAAGTTTATGATAGAGATTTAAAAATCCATGTTGAAGTCATTTTGCCTTTAAAGAGGAACTAGAAAAAGACTGTTGTGCAAAGGTAGAAGTTGAAAAGTTTTCGGCGTCCCTTTATTTTTCCTGGAATGACTTTGGTGTATTATGATATAGATCCTGCCCAGAAGAACCGAAATGGATTTGTCGCTGGTGTTGTCTTAGGGGCAGTTGTGTTCATGCCGCTGGTCTTCCTGTGGACACCGTGATAGTCTCTGTGATTACTGAAAGGCTGCTGTCCACCGCCACCAGCAAAAATTAGATTAAATTTTAAAAATCACTAGGGACAGCTTAGTGTGTGTTTTTAAAACTCAGAGAGGAATCCGTTTTCTGTAGAACTTTTTACTTTAGTTGGGCAGAGTTTTAGCTTGTAATCCTGAGGGCTCAATTTTAAATATACTTTTGCATATTAGTTTTATGGGTACCAGGTTTTCTTGTTTTATTTTGGTTTGGCTAATTTTTTGTCATTTTACCTATTACTGTACTTTGTCTTACATGTTTTAATTTTTATCTTTGAACCCTATGATGTGTTTCTAGTAAGGTGTGGCTTAAAATATTTGAGATAATCTGTACTTCCAACATGTTCTTGCCATTTGTGTCTTGCAGTATCATGGTTTTTGTGTTCTCCCTTTGTCACTTCATGACTTCATTCTCTTGTTTGTTTACAAATAAAAGACACGTGGAACTTCTCTTTTGGTATTTATTTGTTTAAAAGATTTTTGTATTCACATAACAACAGGATATTTTAGCCCATATGATTTAAATGGATGAAGAATAGTTCAAAATAGAAACATACATTTTAAATAAAAATATTAGGAATAGTTTATAATTGCCAAACATTCAAATAGTTGGTTTATACCAAAAGGTTGAATTGTTAATTTATACTAAGGTAGAAAATAAGTGGAATTTCTATCTTCTGATTAACTTAAAAATATAAGCACATGTTCTAGTATAGAATATAGGACATAAGTTATACATGGCCTTATTCACAGTGATACACTTTATTGTCAGAAAATATAGCAAATAGTGAAACATACCATCTGAATTATTATTTTTTTTTTATTTGAAAGGTAGAGAGACAAAGATAGACAAACATATGGAGATTTCCCATCCACTGGTTCACTCTCCAAGTGGCACAACAGCTGGAACTGAGCCAGGAACTTAGGCCATTTCTCCCACATAGCTGGCAGAGATCCAAGTACTTGAGCCATCACCTGCCACCTCCCAGGGTGCACTTCATAAGGAAGCTGGAATGGGGAGCAAAACCTGGACTCAAACCCATGCACTCTGCTAGGAGATGAGGGCATTGCAAACAGGGTCTTAATTGCTGTACTAAATTCCCTCCCCTTTCTCGATACTTGTGTTTGGTACCATCAAGTCCTAGAGTAGCTAATTATTAAACATAGAAATAACTAAGGTATTTTCTTTGTCATTTACAGTAAACTTAAAAACAGACATTTAAAATATGGGCCTAACAAATTTGTCTTTTACTTTTTTCCCCTTTTAAATATAAAGTAAGTAATGTTTTAAATCAGAAAAAGAAATATGTAGTTTAAATAGTACCCACTTACTGTAAATAAGAGATCAGCTCAAGTCAGCCAGGGCTTAACATCTTAAAGATCTTAAGACAGATTGTGTTGATAAACTTGTTTATTAGCTTGGTTAATGTTTGTACCAGCTCGATTTTTTTCTCTCACTAAAAAAATTGTAATTTTTTTTTTTTTTTTTTTTTGAGAGAATGACACACACATAGAGAATTCCCATTCACTGGTTCCTTCCTCTAATGCCCACAGCAATCTAGCTAGGGCTGAAATCTAAATCCAGAAGCTTAGAATGCAATCCAGGTTTCCCTTGTGGGTGGCAGGAACCCAATCACTTGGCCCATCACTGCTGCCTGCAAGCATTCATTCTGGCAGAAAGTTTAGCAGTAATCTTTTTTTTTTTTTAAAGATTATTTATTTATTTGAAAGGCAGAGTTACAGAGAAGCAGAGGGAGAGAGAGATGTCTTTTATATGCTGGTTCACTCCCCAGATGGCCACAACGGCCGGAGCTGAGCCAATCTGCAAGCAGGAGCCAGGAGCTTCTTCCGGGTCTCCCATGGAGATGCAGGGGCCCAAGTCCTAGGGCCACCTTCTTATGCTTTCCCAGGCCATAGCAGAGAGCTGGATTGGAAGTAGAGCATCTGAGACTCAAACCAGCCCTCAGATGAGATGCCAGCACTGCAGGTGGGAGCTTTACCCACTATGCCACAGTGCCAGCCCCAGTAGTAATCTTTGTAGTACAATTTTTTCAGCAAATACCAATGGGTACCAGTTGTACAGTTATAATAATGTAATTAGGTTATTCATATTAAATATGTGACATTGTACAGGGTTGACAATTATACTTTTTTTAAAAAATATTTATTTAGCCGGCGCCGCGGCTCAATAGGCTAATCCTCCACCTGCGGCGCCGGCACACCGGGTTCTAGTCCCGGTTGGGGTGCCAGATTCTGTCCCGGTTGCCCCTCTTCCAGGCCAGCTCTCTGCTGTGGCCCGGGAAGGCAGTGGAGGATGGCCCAAATGCTTGCGCCCTGCACCCCATGGGAGACCAGGAGAAGCACCTGGCTCCTGGCTTTGGATCAGCGCGATGCGCCGGCCGCAGCGCGCCGGCCGTGGCAGCCATTGGAGGGTGAACCAATGGCAAAAGGAAGACCTTTCTCTCTGTCTCTCTCTCTCTCACTATCCACTCTGCCTGTCCAAAAAAAAAAAAAAAAAAAAGTTTAAAAAAATATTTATTTATTTATTTGAAAGGTAGAGTTAGTTAGAGGAGAGATCTTCATCTGCT